AAAGAGAAAGGATAATCCGATTTTGCTGGAACTTTGCGAATCCTAATATTTTCATCAGTGTTAGGTCATGTGCGAAAATGGACAATATCGGTCCACTCCATAAGGGACCTCCCCCACAAAGGGTCAAAATTTTGGATAATTAAAACTCTTATAAAATGTGAAGTAAGAGTCCGATAGTCTTTAAATTTCACACATCTCAATCATTTTATAAGTCCAAGGTGTAGTGCAACAACGGAATGTATCGGTCCACTCCTTCTGGTACCTCCCCCACAAAAGGTCGAAATTTTCAAACAAAATTATTTTTTGCACAGAAAGAGAAACGATAATCCGATTTTGCTCCAACTTTGCAAATCTTAATATTTGCGTCAGTGCTAGGTCAAGTGTGAAAATGGACAATATCGGTCCACTCCATCAAGTACCTCCCCCACAAATGGTCAAAATTTTGAATAATTGGAACTCTCATAAAATGTGATTTAAGAGTCCGATTGTCTTCAAATTTCACACATCCCAATATTTATATTAACCCAAGCTCTGGTGTTAAGATAGAATATATCGGTCCACTCCCTCTGGTACCTCCCCCACAAAAGGTCGAAATTTTCAAAAAAATATTTTGTGCACAGAAAGAGAAAGGATAATCTGATTTTGTTCCAACTTTGCATATCCTAATATTTGCATCCGTGCTAGGTTAAGTGTGAAAATGGACAATATCGGTCCACTCCATCAAGTACCTCCCCCACAAATGGTCAAAATTTTAAATAATTACAACTCTCATAAAATTTTATGTAAGAGCCCGATTGTCTTCAAATTTCACACATCCCAATATTTATATTAACCCACGTTCTGGTGTTAAAATGGACAATATCGGTCCACTATTTCTGGTAACTCCCCCATACAGGGTCAAAATTTTCAAAAAAAAAAAAATATTTTTTTTTTCTGCGCAGAAGGAGAAGCGGGTTTGCTCCAACTTGGCAAATCCTAATATTTTCGTCAGTTCTAGGTCTGGTACAAAAATGGATATTCTTTATCCACTCCATCAAGTACCTCCACCACAAAGGGTAAACATTTTGAATAATTATAATGTGATATAAGAATCCGTCTGTCTTAAAATTTCACACATTCCAATATTTTCCCAAATCCAAAATCTGGCGTTAAGATGGAATATATCGGTCCACTTCTTCTGGTATCTCCCCCACAAGGGGTCAAAGTTTTGAATAACCAAAACATTTATAAAACCTGAAATCAGGCTCTCTTTATATTTCACACATCCCATTATTTCCACTAACAAAAGATCCGTTGTGAAGACGGGATATATCGGTCCACTCATTCTGGTACCTCCCCCCCACAAAGGCTCAAAATTTTGAAAATCCACGAAGCTCACATAAAGCGAAATTGACATCCGATTCTATTCATGACTTGATACATCCCAAAATTTCCATTAAAACAACACAGTCGCAATATTTATATCATATTTATTTAGGTCCGACAAAAAATGGCTAATATTGACCAATTCCTTCGAAACCAACTGCATAAAGGTTTAAACATTTTATCGATCAAACCAGAAGTCAAAAGATTTTAAAATAATCGAACATTGGCTGAGGGTATACATCTGTCGGCAAAACCGACCGAAACTTTTTAACTTGTTAGAATATGTTTTATTCTAAAATGGGACGAGAATACGAAAAGAACTAAAATACTAAAATAAAGTACCGTGGGCAGAACTTGAGGTATTAAATTCTTAAAAGTTATATGTCTTTGAGGGAAAAAAACTTTTTATACCCTCCACCATAGTATGGAGGGTATATTAAGTTTGTCATTCCGTTTGTAACACCTCGAAATATATATTGTAGACCCCACATAGTATATGTATTCTTGATCAGCATAAAATTCTATGTCGATTTAGCGATGTCCGTCCGCCTATCCGTCTGTGGAAATCACTCTAGCTTCCGAACGAAATGAAGTAAGTTGATAAAAATTTACTCAAATGTGTATTATTGTAGGACTTTTGGTATTGAAAATGGGCCATATAGGTCCACGTCTTCGTATAGCCCCCATATAACGGTACCTCCCGATATTCGGTACTTGGTTGATTTTAGCGACATTATTCACCGGAATTCTTTTAAAATTGGTGTTTAATGTTCGAAATAGATGCTGCAGCCTATAACAGGAGATTGTGTGCAGGTCCACGTCTTTGTATAGCCCCCATATAACGGTAACACCCGATATTCGGTATTTTGATGATTTTAGCTACATTATTACGTAACATTATATTATTACATTAAGTTTCGCATTTAAATATTGTAATGGCTTATGGCAAATGTTACCTATGCAGGTCCATTTCGTCGTATAGACCCTATATAACAGCTACTTTCTATATTTTTAATAATTTTTGGGGATTGCTAAATTGGTTCCAAATGGTGGAGTGTATTCAGAGTGCGGCCCGGCCGAACTTACAGCGTTGTTACTTGTTTGTGTTTAATTTTTACTATCGTAGGACTATTTTGAATATATTAGTGGCATGTGTGAAAGAAATCGGATGCTCATTTCGCGTTTTATGAGCTTAAAGTTTTTTCAAAATTGTGAACCGTTCTGGAGTTGGTACTGGAAAGTGCGGTCCGATATAGTCCAAATCTAATATTGTTTTAATAAAGATATTGCGATGCGTGAAATTTTAAGACAATCAGACTCTTATTTCACTTTTTAAAATGTTGACACTTTGTGGAGGATGTTGTTGATGGATAGGAGTGGACCAACATTGCCCATCTCCGAACTTGGACGGAATCAGATATTCCAGTCAGACCGACTCCATATGTCCTGAAACGGATTAGGTCCAAAGAGTCCTAGGATCTAAAGCTGTTGTTTGGATGAGGCACGTTTTGACCGTATCAAATGAAATATACCCTCTGTAGCCATGTCGCTGAAGGTATACATTTTTTTTATTATTTTTTTTAATTGCCGAATGGAATATTGCGATATTTTGAGCTCATGAACCATTTTTCGGCCACTGCCACGCGAGTTTCGATCAAGTCGCTTCTTTACTTTTCGAACCATTTCTGCTGATGTTGGTCATTTTTCTGTCCACTTCCTTGACGTCGAGCTACGCTACCAGTATCACGCTAATGGTACGAAATACTGGAGTGCTCTAACGATAGCCACTTGTGGTTTTCCAGCCAAATATAATTAAATCACACTACCACGCTTCCATTTCTGGAAAATTCTAACCAAAATGCTTTTGTGAACTTGTAAACAATATAATGAGCTGTCACTGGAATAATTTTAACAGCTGTCGGACGAGTCGCTTAGAAATGACAGCAGTCTGAAATTGGTTGTATTTTTTTCATCTCACCCTGTATGGTTGATGCGATTTGGGGTTTAAGTCCCTCACATTTGTAATACACACTTCACCAAAATGAACTTGGTACCAGATATCAGATACAGCTCAGAAATACCACTGCCAAATTTTATCGATATCGTTTCGTCAAATTTAGTGGAAATCGATTCAGAGTAGGATAGTCATCCCATATATTAATTCCCTCTAATTCGAAATTATAAGTGTTCTAAAGCTATAATACGATTTCAAAAAGTTCATAATTGGTTGGATCCACTTCCCAATATAAGTGTTTATTTATAACCGGTAGCTCTACTAAAGATACATAGAGGTGTAGGTTATCATAAACCTTTTGATCTTCTTATTACTGGTTTTACCTTACAACACAATGTGCATAATAACTTCAGGTCGCAATTATCGTCCAATCTTCACGAAATTTTGCATGGGGGTAGGTTTAAGATCAGGATTTAAAATGGACCAAAAACTTAAAAATTGTTTATACTTTGTACTCGCCGTATATTTCTCAACTAAGAAACAATGGACGTGATATTTTTTATGACAGCACTGAAGCCTATCATTTTGGATAGTCTTGCGAAATGTGTGAAAAATGCCAAAATGACAAAATTAACATAAACATAAAAGACGCACCTCTGATCTTTCTCTTGATGGTGCTTTTGTTCACGAATATAGCCAAATATCGGAAATATGCGAAATTATGTAGAGGAATCTTAATTTTCATATATGGTCTTGAATGCCCATTAACACGACATAGGGCATAAATATAAAGCAAATGCTACGAAGATTTGCATGACTTCGCGGTTTCGGTCAAAGGATTACAAATTTTACAGTACTATGTGACATTATTTCTGGAATGAAATGAAAATAAAATATTCAATTTGCATGGATAAAATTTTGAATATTAAATTTCTGTTCTTTTTGAAAGAGCGAATTCGGTAGTTGACGTAGTAGGAACATCTGTTTGATTTTTTTAGAGATCGTATGTTTTTGGTGATGATAGTTCGAATTTGGTTCAGTATTTGCTTCTATTATATTGTTGATATTGGGATGTTTCTTGGGGGAATTTTCATTCTAGTCAAGAGATTAACATTAATTTTTTCACCAACATAAAGTTACTGATTTTCCGACTTATCTTGCCAAGAACATTTTTGTTGGTGGTTGAATAAAAATGCTATAACACAAACTTTTACACCGTTCATAGTTGTAATGATGTCTACTGACACAAGGTCGGCCCTGTCTGGCAATATCACTCTCAATTTTTGTTCATTTATTTAACCAAAATATTAGGATTTTATTTTTGAAACTATAAACTCATACACACAAATAAACTTGCATACTTATATAACATGCAAGAGTGATTTGTGATAATTTTTCATATCGGATTTTCATGTCAGATGCAAGAACCCAACCCCCTCACAGCAAAATGTTATGAAATTGAAAAAAAAAATAATAATACCTCCACATCACATCACATAGAGTTTCAACTTCAAATGTCAAAATAGTGAACAATTTTTCCATTAAATATACATTTTACTTTAGATAATGCTGTACATTTTAAATTATGAATATGTCTCATTTTGCACACATTTTACCCCTTCTCTTTTCTTCTCTCTCTCTCTCCCACTCTCTTCTCTAGCCTTTCCATAAACAGATTTTGCATGGCAAAGTTCGCACAGCAGATGGCAGGTATTCGAGCGTTGAATGTGATATATGAAAGTTGAAAACCCGGTCTGAAAACCTGCAAGTGTTGTCTTAACAGCATGTCAGCAGCACATAAGCCGTGTCAGGACATTGTGCATTGCAACAGCAAGCGGCAACAAAACTGAATCCAGGAGTATGTCATAAATGAAAAATCATACAGAGAAATATTCAAGTGAAACTTTTTTGTTTCTCTCCAAAAAAAAAAAAACGGGGGAAAAACTCAACTCAATTCAACTGATGCAGGTGAATGTAAAACGGCTACTATCCATTGAGGAATGTGCACTCCCGACTCCTTGCCTGGTACACTGGTAGTATTTTGTGTAAATAATGAACGAAAAAACACCAGCAACAAGGAGCAGCAGGAAGTTGTGTCGCATGCACAATCATAAATCATTCGGAAAATTGATGCTGAAGCAGAATCTGGAGCAGTGGCAACATCAACAATAAACTTCCATTTACTTCCCAGTTGCTGTCGCACACACACACATTCACAGGTATGTTTGTGGCAACATCCGAAATTCTGGTACAACAATGATGTCCAACAAAAACAACATCCCAGCATCATCAACTAAAGAATAAAAGAAACAAAGAACTCAGAAAAAAAATCGAATTGAATATTTAAATTTTGTCTGAACATTTGGAATTTACGGTCTACCTAGCAATACTCTCTGGAAGGACAATTCATCGAGGAGCGGCAAGCAACCACAACTACCACTACGACCTGAATTTGTTATGCACTTGTCAACGCCTGCTTCATCCAAGTGACATTCATCCATCCAGCCAGCCAGCCAACCATTCCCTGATGGATGTCAGTTGCAACGATTTTCAATCATTTTACTTCCGCAACAAACGAACCGAACTTTTCAGAGAAACCCAAAAAAAGATAAAAACTGAAAAACCCCCAATAAATAAATAAATATCTCTGCTACCGGGCAACCATACTGGATCCCCCCCGTGAGATTTTAATGCAGTTTCAATACAACGAAATAATTTCGAAAACGAAAGAAGCGAGGACGAAAACAAGTGTTTAAATAACACATTCACTTCATTTAATTTGGCTTAAATACCATCGATGCGAATGAAGTTTCCGATTGCGTTTTCGTTTTGCAATTAACCGAGGAGAGATATTAAATCAAACTTAAATCCCACCGCCAGCATAGTTACATTTTAAGAAGGACTGAGTTGAGAGAATAGAATAAGAGCCATAGCAGCAGTAACAACAACAAAAAAAACACAACAAAATGATATTCCTAATGACAGTTATCAAAGTGCTGCTCATCGCACTGAACATATTTCCAAGTCGCTTCACCAATCGCAAGGTGATGTTCCTGATCTACCTGACAAATCTCGTAACACATGGTGAGTACTAGTTATACCCTCCCTCAAGTTTGTCATTCCGTATGTAACACCTCGAAATATACATTTTAGACCCCATAAAGTATATATGTACGTCCGTCTATTGGTCTGTCCGTCTGTGGAAATCACAATAGCTTCCGAACGAAATGAAGTAGGTTGATAAAATTTTACTCACATGTGTATTATGTCTGCAGGACTTTTGGTATTGAAAACGGGGCATGTAGGTCCACGTCTTCGTATAGCACCCATAGAACGGTAACTCCCGATATGCGGTATTTTGAATATTTTTAGCGACATTATTTATCGGAATTTTTTCAAAAATGTTATTTAAAGTTCGTAATAAAAACTACAGCCTAAGACATAATTATTCACCGATTTTTTTTAAGTTTCGCTTTTGAATATTGTAATGGTTTATGACAAAAGTTACCTATGCAGGTCCATGTCGTCGTATTGACCCTGATATAACGGCTACATTCGGTATGTCTAAGATTTTAACAGAATTTTTAACACATTTTATTATTTTTGAGAATTGCCAAATTCGTTCCAAATGGTCGAACTTACAGCTTTTTTACCTGCTTTACTTGTTATGTCTATAAATTTGATTATAACAGGCAAAATGAGAAGATATAGACCCATAGTGCCTTTTGATGATCCTTATAGAATCACATTCTGAATCGATTTACGCATGCCCGCCCGACCGTCTGTCCATGTATTTTTGTAAACAAAATACAGGTGGCATTTATTGCTCGATTGTGAACAACATTTGCGCAGATAACTTATTTGGCCCAAAGACGAACACTATTGAAATATGTCATAATCGGTTAAGATTTAGTTATAGCTCGATACATATATTCGGCCGATTTAAGACTTATTATGCACAAAATGCGTAATATAAGCCAACATTTGGTCGACCGAATTTTATGTTAAATTTGGTGAGAATTAGCTATAGCTCTCATATATATGTTGCATCCGATTTGGTATTTTAGTGCCCCACTTTTGGTATTTTAATGCACTCCACGACAAAGATATTTGGTACTAGATATTAGATATAGCTCAGAAATACCTATACTCAATTTTACTGAGATCCGTTCAGACTTGAATGTAGCTTCCATATATATCTCGTCCTATTTCAAATATATTGACTGCAAAATTTGAAATATTAACGGAAAAGGGTTGAGTTTTGGCAGAGACTAGAATCTAGGGTGTTAAATTTGCGTTCAGATATAGCTTCCACATATATGTTTCATCCGATCTTATATCTAAGTCCCTCAAATCCATTTCTGCTGATTTTGCCGTTCTCTTCCGTCCACTTCCTTGACGTCGGGCTACGCTACCAGTATCACGAGATCGGTTACGAGCGATGGTACAAGACACAAAATATTTATTCACATTTAAATGCTGGAGTGCTCTAACAATAGCCACTTGTGGTTTTCCAGCCAAATATAAAGAAATCACACTATCACGCTTGAATTCCATCACGAATAACTTTTCTCTTGAAAATTCTCACCAAAATGATTTTGTACGCTTCTAAACAATATAATGAGCTGTCACTGGAATAATTTTAACAGCTGACGTACGAGTGGCTTGGAAATGACAGCAGTCTGAATTTGCAGTTTTTTTCATCTCACCCTGTACAGTCTATGAAAAGAAATTCAATTGTTCTATTCCAAAGGATGTAAAACGGGTTTCATAAAGAAGAAAACCTTTTTCAACGGCTGTTTTTTTGGAAATTAGATTGTGATATGCCTTGTGTGGGGAGGTACTGCAAACCTTAGTTTTGAGAAGTTTATATCCACATTTGTGGCAGCATATAATTATACCCTTCAACACTATGTGTTGGGGGTATTATAAGTTTGATTGGGCAAAAATTATTGAACACCTCGAAATATTGGTTTCCCACATAGGAAAGTATATATGGATCTTCCTATCTCGCCGAGCTGGGTCGATCTAGCTATGTATGTCCGTATGTCCATGTTAATTTATAATCACTCTACAGGTAACAATTATGGCCCGATTCTCACGGAATTGAAAATGTAGGTGGTGTTAGGGTCAGAATAGAACACTATTTCTTTTGGAGATGATCGCATAATATTTAGGGGTTGAAGTGTACCAAAACCTGAAAATTGCATGATTATCCAGTTGCTCTACAGGTCGCAATTATAGAGCAAAGTTAGCATGGGGCTAGATCTTAGGGCTGGGCAGTTGCCTTCCAATTTGGATGGTCATCGGGTAATACTTAGTGGGTAAAATAAACCATAACATTTCTGTTAAATAAAAGTCAAAATTTCCATTAAACCGCGAAAATATTTAATCCCGGTAAAATCACGAATAGACGAACAGGTCAATCCTGACCGTTACGTAGATGCCGATATTTAATATATCGGCTATTTATAGCAAAATATGTACAATGCGTATATACAAAGGAAAGGGATGTTAGTTAGATTGCTTATATCTCAAAAATGGGTGGACCGATTTGACAATTTTTTTTTAATTCAGAATGCCCTCGTGGCACAAAAAAATAAAATCTCAAAAAAAAAACATAAAAAGATGACAATAATGATGTTTATATCTATTTTGTAGTATTTTGTGACATTTTTTAACTTTTTCATATTTTTATGGCATGCTATTTTTTCAAGGGTAGGTCTATTGTTTTTACAAATGTCCGCAATATATTTAGTGGTTGAAGTGGACCAACAACTAAAAATTTTCCTGATTTTGCAGCCGCTATTAAGGTCACAAATAGAAATCTAAGTACACAGTACACGAAATCTCGCATGAAGTTAGAGTTTAGGACAGCGGGTTGAATGAACCACTACTTTTTTATGAAAAAATACCAATATTTCTGAAAATAACTTACAGTCGAAATCCAAAAAACAAAAGCCGAACTTCTGTCTTTTTAATCTGATTTCGTTGAAGAATATAACCTAATGTCGTAGAGATTTGTCTAAATTTGACAATACAGTGGAACCTCTTGCATTTGGAGATGATCGCAAAAACTATAGGGGTTCAAATGAACCAAAAACAGAAAGAACCTGATCACACAATTGAAGCCAATCGAGACGGAATTTTGCCTGAGAAGAGAATTAACGACAGAGAAGAAGTCTAGCATTTTGGACGACAATTGGATTATATTTAGCTGTAAAATGGACCACAACAACTAACAACAGATGGAGTGCGCAATATTTTTCAATGTCACTGGACAAAAAGCTAAGGGTAATATCTGGGAAATGCTCTATGACATAATTTCAAAAGCAGAGTCTTCCAAAATGGATTTGGGCATAAAGGTGCTTCTAACATATTGTTGTGTTGTAGGGTATCACATGGTCGGCCCCGCACGTCTATAGCCTTTGCTTACTTGTTTTAATATAGCATTGAAAGTACTGAGTTAGTAATACCTTACATCGGTCGATACCAGTTTTGAAACTCATAATACTTGCAATTATTATTTATAGTGTTTCCATAGGTGGGGCCTAGTCTCCTTTACTCCTGATATGCCCTTGAAGGCTCTTCTGTGAAAACTCCCTGGAGTTTCGCTTAGAAATCTAATTTCAACTTATTTAATCAATTTAAGATCTATGTATTTAAAAATTACATATAGACTCCTCTATATACCGGAGATCCGTTTCTTCTACTTATTTTATTTTATTAAAACCTCTTAATTTTATTTATTTGTTACCAAAAACTGATATTACTACAGTCTATACAAGGAGGTAAAAGGCAAACTATAACAGACTTCTCTAAGGCTCTCTTTCTGCCTATAGAAAATCTCTTCGTTATGTTAAAAAGCTGGGTGTTCTTTTGTCTATTGACAGACATCTATAATGGATTTGCCATTTATTTTTAGTAAAAAATCTACCCTTCTTATCTCGAACATATGATAATATTTAATATCATGAAAAGTCAAATTTATTTCCTAAAACTGCACTCTTCACAAAGGTAACCTCTACTTGCAAGATAAATAAATTAAGTTTTACCTTATTTTTCATATATGCAGCCCTGAAAATATTTCCCCTAACAAGGCCACCAAAGAAGTGAAATAATCTTTTAAATTCTACCCACCATAAGACGTAAATTCTCAATATTATATGTATGTATATATGCATGCATATGTGGGCGAACCTAAACCAACACATGTGTGTGTCTTGTTGCTGCCTTCCAGTACCATAACATCTGATGAGTTAACATCTTTTTTTTTTTTCTTTAAAAAATAGAAGTAATAAAACTGAAACTGAAAATAAGAAAAAATAAGAAGCAGCAAAATAACAACAACCGAATTCTGTTGCGGTTTGGTGCGAACGTGAGTGTTGTTGTTGTGTACAGTTTCAGTTTTTTTTTATTACAAATTCCTTTATATTTTTCGATACTCACTGAGTAGATTGAAGTATAAATATTTAATTGGTGATTTGTGGTTTTGCCACAGACAAATTTATCCACAATGTGGGATTTCAGAGCTGTTTCCATTCGTTTGGTGTTACTTTGCAAAATGGAAATGTATTGTGAAATGGTATGGGAATGAGAGAGGTAGTTAAGGGGAGAGGGGCTTGGTTTATATTCTGTTGTTGTTTTAGTTTAGCACCTTGGGAATTCGAGTTGATGTTGTGAGATGGGTATTTTTCGTTTTGTTTTTTTTGTTTTTGGGTTTTTTGTATTCAAGGTTTTCACAATCCCAGTGAGAATAACAAATTGATCAACATGCGGTTATAAGTGGGTATGCCACCACCCGACACTGCATTGCCATTGAATGGACTAAAATGGTATTGAATTTATTTTTTGCTTTCAAATCGATTCACATTTTGCACTGAAATTAATTACAATAATTTAAGTTGATAAATATGGCAAAGAATTTTCCAATGAGATTGAAATCTTAATATTTTATTTGAAAAGCAAATTAAGGGGTAGGAATAATTGCAATTTTGCGCCAAGACTGAGCCACGATAAATAACCAGATAAAGATGTGGCAATCAATGAACCGAATAACCCATTACAGGGGAATGTAATCAAAATATCGTTAGCATTATCAATAAGGTAAGGAAATGTACTTTTATTATTACCAAGTAATAAGTATGGGCTGCATATTGTGGATCTGTTCCCATTACTTGGTAATGAGAGTTTTAACAAAAAAATAAACACAGAGAGTGCGAGATACTTTTAAATCCTAAACCTTATAGCTTTAGAGGATATAAAATTTTATATGACCAGAATGTGCATTCCCGAAATAATAATTTGGAATCACATTTCTTTCGAAGGTAATTGTAGACATTTGAAGTCCATGCAGCTATGACCATCTTTCCATCCTTTTGTCTGGTGGTCAATATAACTTTCAGAGAGAGGGAGAGTATGATTTGATTCCAACATGCAGGGTTATAACTCTATCACCTTAAAAAAAATAAATAAATAAATAAAATAAAATATCAAATAAATAATAAAAATAATAAATAAATAACTAAAAAAATAAATAAATATATAAAAAATTAATTAATAAAAAAAAAATCATAAAAAATTTCCAAACATCAGTCCACTTTTTCTGATAGATCTTCAAATATTTGATATTTTATTTATTTATTTTTTTTTTTTTTTGTTTTTTGAACAATTTCTCCGAATTTGTCCAATTTTAAGTATTCTCGAAAAATTCTTGGATTTTTTATTATTTTTTGGCTAAAATTCGGGGTTTTATGCCCCCATTCATAGCTAGTGAGCTGAACATATCGCAATATCCATTCGGCAAATATTGAAAGATGAGCTCGGGGTAAAGCCATTGCAATTCAAAAAAGTGCAAGAACTTACACCGCAACATAATGAAAATAGACTCAAAGGAGCTAAAGAGTTGCTTCGCTCTTCCGAAAGTGGTGAACTGCCGAATTTGGTTTTCTCCGATGACTTGGTTTTCTCTCGTTGTCCAGCAGTTGGTAAACAACAAAATGATCGTGTTTAATTGCCAAAGAGGTCAGCTGAAAATGTGCACCTTCGGTGAGCCACCAGAACTCAAGCGCCGGCCATGGTCATGGTGTGGGCGGCCATAACACCCGATGGTCGCTCTCTTCTCGTATTAATCGACCGTGGCATCAGAATAAATGCCGAATATTATCGCGAAAATATTCAGGAGGATATATTAAAGCCTTGAGCACACAAACATTCTGGCCGCAAACCTTGGACAATCCAACAGGACTCAGCACCAAAAAAAACAAAATAAAAAAAATGCCATTTGACTTTGTTGCACTTTTTTATCTCACCATGTATAATTCTTATAAAACACGAAATAATCATCCGATCCTGTTCAAATTGCATATATCCTTAAATTTGTGCAAATGCATGATTTGGTGTGAAGATGGGATATGTCGCTGCACTCAATTTGCTACCTCCCCCACAGAGGGGTCAACATTTTGAACATTTAGAACGCGAAATGAGCATTCGATTATTTTCAAACTAACCACATCTAAATATTTTTAGCAACACCAGATTTGCTGGGAAGATAGAATGTGCCGGTCCCCTCTTTCTGGGTATGACTTCCCCCACAACGGGTCAAAATTTGTATACCCTCCACTATACTTAGTATAAATAGTGTATGAAGTTTGTCATCGAAATAATAATTTAAGATCTAACAAAGTACATAAATTCTTGATCAGCTTAAAATTCTAAGACGATTAAGCCCTGCCCATCCGTCCGTCTGTTGTAATCACGCTTGAGTCAAAAGGAATTAAGATAGGAAGCTAAAATTTTGCAAAGATCAGTCTTAGTCTGCAGGCAGGTTAATTTCGAAGATGGACTATATCGGCCCACGAAATCGTATAGCCCCATAAACATAGTCTGAAAAGCCACACAAGGAGTTCCTTCTGAGTACTTTCTTCCTGGAAGAGTCTATATAGCTCCACAATATCGTATTTGGTATTTTGATGATTTTCGGGACCTTATTCACCGGAATTATTTAAAATTTCGTATTTTAAGTTCTTAGTAGGTACTACAGCCTAAGAAGAATTGTGTATGCAGGCCCATCTCTTGTATTGCCCCCATATGACGGTATCCCCCGATATTCGGTATTTTGATGATTTTAGAGGAATTATTCACCGGAATTGTTTCAAATTTCGTATTAGAAGTTCCTAATGGGTACTATAGACTATTACAGAAAATGTCGTATTCAGCCCACGTCTTCGTCTAGCCCCCATACATAGGGGTAACTCGCTATATTCGGTATTTTGATGATTTTAGCGACATTATTCACCAAAATTGTTTCAAATTCCGTACTTTAACTTCAGTCTTTGACAGAAAATTGTCTATGAAGGTCCAGGTCTTCGAATAGCCCCTATAGTCGGTAGTTTGACGATATTAGGTAAAATATTCACCGGAGTTGTTTCAAAATTCGTAGTTAAAGTTCCTAAACGGTACTACAGCCTTAGACAGAAAATGCAGGTCCACGTTTTAGTGTAGCACCCATATGATGATACCTCCCTATTTTCGGTACTTTGATGATTGTAGCAACATTATTCACCTGATTTTTTTTAAGTTTCGTATTTGAATATTGTAATGGCCTATGACAAAATTTACTTATGGAAGCTCACGTCTTCGAATAATGTAACGGCGACTTCGTACATTCGGTATTTTTAGTATTTTTTTTAACAGAATTTGTAGAGAATTTAATTTTATGAAAATTCTTTCCAAATGGTAGATATCATATTTTATATTCGGTATTATCGGCGGCTTTTTATATTCGGATTTTATTTATTTTTTAAATTTCCAAATTATTTCTAAATGGTAGAAATTTCAAAGTTCGGTCCGACCTTTCTGCTTTTTTAATTGTTAAAATTTATATCCCGCATGAAATGTCACGCATCCTAATATTTCTATTTATACAAGTCCTGACGTAAAAATAATATATATCAGCCTACTACTTCTTGTGCCACCTCTCACACAAAATTTCACAATTTTAACTAATTATATCTTTCGAAACATGACAGCGACTACATATTTCGATCCACCAGACATCTGATACCAATATGAAATTTATCGGCTCATTCCCCACAAGAGGTTAAAATGATGATTAACAATTATTCAAAAAAAAAAAAAAATAAATAAATAAATAAATGGATAAAATATTGGAATTGGTTATATAAACCTGATTTTCTTCAAATTGTGCACATCCAAATATCTATATCAGTAGCAGATGAAGTGGAATGCTTTGGTCTCATGAATATTTCAAAAATTATCACATGCCTCATATAAAGTGAAGGTTTCATATGAGAGGTGTATAATATTGGCTCACTTCTTCGGAATCTCCTCCATAAAGGGTCAACATTTTGATTATTAAAACATATTTTATAAACCGGCATAGGCTGAAGGTATGCAGCTGTCGGCATTACCGACTGATTCCATTGAACTTGTTTTTAATATTTTTTTCAGCAGCTGTGTGCCGAGAAGTAGTGTTTTTTTTAATATATTTTTTTTAAGATCCTTCCACATTTTTTCAACTACCAACCAATTAAATTATTGTAATTTGGAAATTACAATTTCAATTATGTTATATTAATAATATATTTATTACATTTTTTCCTTTGGCCGTTCACATTTATCACGGAAATCTCCATAGAATTAGAATGACATTTGCAATTTCTTGAGTGCTAGGATATTCATTACGCCAGCGACTTCTCTTGGCCAAAATTTATTTCTCAATTCGAACATAATTCGGAACGTGTTTGTTTTCTACAAGTTGACCACACACACATACCCCTACATATCTCTAAAATTAATTACATCTCTTTACTGTTTTATCCCTTCTGCTTCCATAATATTTTGCCTTTCTATTTATTTTGTCTGTTTGGCTCATTTCTTTGCAGTTATGATGAATGAACCTCGCTTTGCCCAACCAATACCAAATGTAACAGTGGCCGTGGGACGTGATGCCAATTTACCCTGTGTTGTGGAGCATTTGGGCGGCTATAAGGTAAGAAGAAGAAGAAGCAGCAGCTAAGCATCCCACCACAGATGCCTTCATCATCACCGAATGGATATCCATCTGGAAAAAGGGCTACTTTCGCATGAATTACAAAACGTTAGTTTAATGACCTCTGCAATATGCCAGTCATCAAAATGAATTATCCTATCATTTGTTTATTGTAAAACAAGGCAACAGACATACGTACATACATCTAGACGAACATTTATTTTTTTGTGTTTTGTTTTTAAATGAAACATTAAAACCCCAAAGCAATAAATCTATACATGAGAAGAGTTATTGCAACTATTAAAACGGGGTCGGTATACTTTGAATGAAAAAGGTATTAGGGATTTTTAAATATTCTTTTTTTGCAACACCTACTTTAATATGTAATATATTATATTACAAGGGTTTGTTTTTAGAAGCCTACAAGTCATAATGAAGAGATTAGTAAAGCAGGAAAAAACATGTTTAAATGTGGAAAACATAGTACTCCCAGTAAAATTGAGAGATAAGTTAGTAAGGAGGTTGTAAAAAGCCGTTAAATGGGTTCATAAGAAAGTTTGGTGTAGCTCTTAGACTGCGGAACACGTCAAATATGTAAAATCGATATGCCGAGCAGAGTGTAAGTCTGGGACCTAGCTGTGAACAATAACTTAACTTTGACCATGGCTAAAAATATGTTATACATCTGAATTTCTCCAATACAAAATTTCATCTATTTTCTATTACCCGATAACCATCCCATGCTTACTTCCGCGTCGATTGGTCTATATAATCTCGACCTTTAGAGCAACTGCAAAATCAGGGAATTTTTCAGTTTTTGATCCATTTCAACCCCGAAACATAACAATAGGCTACTATTCTGACCATAACCCAACCTCCATTCAAAATTTCGTGAGATCATAATTGCGTGATTACAAATTAAAATGGACAGCCGAACAGACATACATAGCTAGATCGACTCAGCTCAGCGAGGTAGGAAGATCCATATTGACTTTCCATATGGGAAAACAATATTTCGAGGTGTTACATAATTTTTGGCCCAACCAAACTTTTAATACCCCCAACACATAGTATTGTAGGCTATAAATATTTATTGGAGGAATAGTTATACCAGAAAGAGATTCACCAAGTGGAAAATTTGCATGAATATGAAGAAATTAATCCAATTTGGGTTAATATTACATATATGGTGGATAATAACTGTAAAATCGGATAAAGATGTATATCGTAAGTACATAAAAATCTGAACCGATCTCGATAAAATTTGACAGTGGTATTTTCAAGCAGTTGTTGATGCCCCGTATCAAATATCATTGTTGTGGACATGAAACATATATAAGGAAGCTATAGCTATATCTGAACCGATTTTCACCAAAATTTAAAGCACTTCTTTTAGGCTGAATTTCGCCGGAATTAGTCTATTTGGTGCACAAAAAAACCTGAAATCGGACACATATATATGTGAAAGCTATATACAAATCAGAACCGAACTTGACAAAATTTTAAGCACACATTAAAGAGCTGTATCTAATATCTGGTACCAAATATCATTCTTGTGGAGTGCATATTACGAATGTGAGGAACCTAAACACCAAATCGGATGAAACATATATATGGAAGCTATAGCTATATCTGAAATGATTTTCACCAAATTTGATGTACTTGCTTCTAGACTGAATTCGGTCGTATGTGCCAAAAATCAGGTCATTTGGACTGATATGAGTCATTTAGTGCACAAATAACCCAAAACTGGTTGAAGATATGTAGGGGTGCTATATAAAAATTTGAACCAATTCTCACCAATTTCAAAAGCGTTCGATCTTGGAGCAAAGAAATATGGTTTGAGACATTTCATTTAAATCGGATAATAAATTAATGTGATCTGTATTTGGTTAACAAAAATATATGGGCGGACAGACGGGCTGAAATGCCCTGAAAGTGATTCCATGACATGACTCAGAAAGGGATTCCATGAAGATCCTCAAAAGTAACTATGAGTCTATCTTGCTTCCTTCCCCCTTCCCCTTACCAGTATGTGGTGTAGGGTATAAAAAATCAGCTAAGTCCGGCCTCCACCAATTGGACATTTTCAAAAGCTTCCACTGAAAAAATGTTGCTCATATTGCTAGGTACGTGTATTTGAAGGCTATACGTAATCGAAGACATGTACAGCCAATTATAAACCAGGAAAATCGAACTCCAAATGAAAAATTTGAAATACCGAATACAGGAAGGGATAATCATTATATGGTTGACATAAGAAAATCTGAGAATCTGATCCGAATAATCGAAAGTGGTACCCATTATGAGCTCAAAATGCCAAATTTGAAAAAATTCTGGTAAAATTTTTGACACAAATCATCAAAATACCGAATATCAGTATGTATAGTTATTTGGGGTCTGTACCAAAACTTGGACAGTTCTATGCAAGGATATGTCCTACATACTGTTAAAATAAACCATCAATTTACAGTTATAGGGAGACTGTACAAAAACCTGGTCCTATTGGCCCATTTTCAATACCAAACATTTTATGGACGAGCATATATGTTGCCCACTTACTTCATTCCGTTCGAAATCTAGAGTGATTGCCACAGATGCACACACGGACGAACGGTCCAAAATGGTTACAAACATCAAGGATCAGCTATGAGATTGGTTACTTCCTTCATTTTATATGAGATATGTGGTAATTTTTAGAAAAATCGCTACGACAGATAAAAGTATTAAAAATTGTGACGTTTGTGGCTGAGGTACCAGAAGGGGTAAACAGATATATATAATCTTCATAAAAGATCTTGAGTCAGCAAAAATGTTTGTATGTGTGAAATTTGAAGAGAGCTTATTTCGCTTTCTCTGAGCGTTTTATTTTTCAATATCTTGAGCCCTATTTAGGAGAGGTACCAGAGGAAATGGTCCCATCACTACCATATTTATAACAAATATTGAGTTGATGGAAATATTGAGATGTACCAGGTCTGAATGGAATTGGCTGTGAATGTCACGTTTTATGGGCTTCATGGATATTCAAAAGCATAGATCCTTTGTGGGGGAGGTACCAGAAGGAGTGGACAGATATATTCCATCTTCACAGCAGATCTTGTGTTAGTAGAAATATTGCGATGTGTGAAATATTAAGAGAACCGAATGCTTATTTCGGACTTTATAATCGTTTTGCTTATTCAAAATTTGGAACTTTTGTGGGGGAGGTACCAGAAGGAATGACCCGATTTCTACCATCTTTATAACAGATTTTGTGTTGATAGAAATATTGAGATGTAGCAAGTCTGAATGCAATCGGACGTCAATACCACAAGGAGTGGGCCGATGAAATTCATCTTAACACCGGACCTTGGGACAATAAAAATTTTTGATCTGTGTAGTTTGGAGACAATCGGACTCTTACATTACATTTTATAAGATTTATAATTATTCAAAATGTTGACCATTTGTAATGGAGGTACTTGAGTGAGTGGACCGATATTATCTATTTTGACCTAGCACTGTTGCAAATATTACGATTTGCAAAGATGGAGCAAAATCCGATTATCCTTTCTCTTTCTGTGCAGTAAAACATTAATTATTATTTTTTATTTTTTTTGAAGGACATTCCCAGAAGGTGTGGACTGATATTGCCCATCGATCGAAATCGATCTAAGTTTGATAATAATATTAGGATATACAAAGTTTGGACCATATCGTATACTCATTTCGAGAGTTATCGTACACACCAGCCAGACTGACAGAAAGACGGACGGACATCGCTAGATCGACTGCAAATTTTCTGAAATGGATTTGGAGCAAAGAGAACTAGGGTCTAAAATTGTTATTTCGATGAGGCACGTTTTGGTCGTATCAAATGATGTATATATCTTATATATTCTTTAGCTATATGACTGAGGGTATAATAAAGAAGATCATGCTGTGAAAACGCTGCAGTAATTAATTTTACGGCTTTTAAAGACAATAATCCTACTTTTAAAGACAATAATCCTACAATTTCTAATTGATTAATCTATTTTTTGAAATTTCTTAGTTTTAATATATTTAACATCGAATTCCATATTTTCGATGACGTCGAATGTTGTTTCAAAATTTTTAGAAACTAAGGGTAAAATTGTCTATTGGGCCCACGCGCTCTTAAAGACCTCATATAAATATAGCTCCTGATATTTGGTATTTTGGTGATGTTAGGCACATTTTTGGTTAACCAATGTAGATTTTTCAGCTTTTCAGTAACTAACCTTCTGGAATAGTCCCTATATTTGGTATGTTAATGATGTTGACTGCCTTTCTACCGATTTTTTTGCAAGTTGCTTTAACGATTCATAGGTGGCAAACAGTTGGCTTTGTTACTGACATTTGTGATTCTAAATGGATATGTTCCTTCGACATAATATAAAACTGCTTAAATACTGAATTTTGACACTTATATACGCATTTTCAAAATATGTATGTTCCAAATGGTATAGAGTGTTAAAGGTTTTGACAGATCGAAGATAACTGTAGCAGAGAACGATAATTGACTTAAGCTTACGAGAACTTCGATGTACTATCTAGACAGGGAAATGTTATTCTTAACGTCTATGCACGATATATACCCACCATGTCTGGGTGGGTATATATCGTGCATGAACCATGTCTGGGTGTATATTTTTCTTAACCAGTAAAAAAATTAACTATTTCTTTACAACAATTTCCACTTAACTTGGTTTCCAGATCTAATACACAGGCTCCTGTGGCTTCTCCACAGTTTGGCTGTGATTACATACCAGTCATCCATAGAAATATATTTTGGTACGTTTCTGCTATTTATTTCAAAACATGGTTTCGTTTGGCTAGAGTAACGAAAAAAATTTTTTATAACAGAAATGCATTTCATTGAGATAGCAAGACGAGTCTTTCTTGCGGAATTTACATTTATTTCTCAGGGAATTCAAAGATAGGACTTACATTTATTCTATTGCTCTAAACAAAGCTACAAGTCTTCTGCCCACACTGTAATGGATCGCTCTGGAGTTCCAACCCAATGGTCTAGGGATGATAGACAAAAAACCAGGCTGTTAGTAGAATATGGTAAAGGCGTTTACGTCACATTCTAGCTCTTCTGTCTGCCTCTTGCGCTGACTGTATGATTCTATAATTATTTGCCCTCTTATAAGGCTTTGCCACGTGTTGCATCATGGGGCAGAAGGAGTTTTTACAACAAAACTACATGTGATCCTCATCTAATGGTAGTGGTTCTGTTTTTTTTTTTTTTTTGTAAAGCAGATTCCATACGACGGGTGTCTAACCCCCAGGAACAGAAACTACAGTTGTCCACTTCTAAAAACTTCTTGTACAGGTGTTGATTTGTAGACAAAAAGCAAAGCTGTGATTTTTGTTGTTACAACTTAGGATATTCGTACTCCATGTTTTTCTTCGGAATTAATTTATTTTTCTAGAATTTTTTTTTAATTTTTTTAAGGGCAAAGAGGCTTTTGTCTGAGAATATTTAGTCATTTATCTAGTTGGGAGAGTTATGTTTTCGTAGTCCCTAACAACATATGAGAAAATTATTATATCCCCCTGATAGGGTTCTTTCTTAGTAATATTCCTAGAATTCCTAGCAAATCTTGATTGAAATATACGTTTGTGGGGATTAAAAATTCTCACCAATAAGTAATGGCGGAATTCTTTGGCTCATTGCTTTTTTAGAACTGTTTCGATCCGTCCCAATCTATTCTAGTCATGTACTCATTACAAATTCCTTTCATATCAAGATAGATATTAGTAACTACTTGTAATATGCCCATTAAGTGGTACTTTTTGGCCATTAACCTTCTCATGTCTTTGTGGAGTTCCTCTTGACTACTTATCAGGTTGTTGCGACAAACCACTTCACCTGAACTGTAGTACTTCTCATGGTATTATTAGAGAATAAATTTGTAACAATATTTCCATTTGTATTCCCATATTGTTTTCGGTGTCCCCTTTTAACTCCGTTGGTTGAAGTTCCTTTTTGTTTAGCTATCATTTGCAACTCTTTGAGGCGAACAAAAGTAGAAGAAATAGTTTTCTTTTTCTTATCCTTAGCTATCCAGCAATACAAAGGACAACGATTTCCCTCCCCCTACTCTCCACCACCGCAGTATCAAAGAGAGAATAAGGGCAATATAAATATCTTTGTAGAATATTTGTTTCTTGTTTAATGTTCACTTGACAATTTGCATTCCTGGTATTGAGGAGAAGAAGTTGTTTTTTCTTTATCCGACCTTAGCATCTTTTGTGTCTGGCAACATATTGAAATGTGTTTTTTTTTTTGTTCTGCTTCTTTTCTTTTTCTTCCATTCTTTTTTTCTTACTGTCACCGCCAGGTTGCTTGGATACATATTGACAGACAAATGATTTTGACAATACATCGCCATGTTATCTCGAGGATACCACGTTACAGCATTACCTACGACAATGCCAACACATGGCTGCTGCATGTGAACCAGGCGCACCAGGACGATCGTGGCTACTACATGTGCCAGGTGAATACAAATCCCATGATAAGTCAAGTGGGCTATCTGCAGGTAGTCGGTAAGTATCTTCTATGCTATATTTTTTTGAAGAGTTCCTTCTTATTCCCTACCTTTTTGGGGTCTCCATTGTTTTTAGTGCCACCCAATATATTGGACATTGAGAGCACTCCATCCTCGGTGGCCGTAAGGGAAAACCAAAATATCAACATGACTTGCAGGGCAGATGGCTTTCCGGCTCCAAAAATAATATGGCGGCGAGAAGATGGCGAAGAAATTGCAGTCGAAAAGAAAAAGAAAGGTAATTCAACGATAATCCCTGCTACAACCGAACGAAACCTCTAACCTTAGGTTGTGTTTTTTTTTTTTTCATTTTCTTGTCTCTTTTCCGATTCTCTTGTTGACTCTTAAACTGTCTATTTAATCTCTGCTGGAATTGATAACCATACCTACATCGACCCTTTGAACCTAAACAATGGCGTACCAAAAAAACGTAACTACTACAAACACAATCTCCGTAATCTCTTGCATGGAATATGGTACCTACTTCTGCCATGCTGGATGGATGAATCTATTACACAACAATGCACACAATTCATCCCCATGCCTTGGCAATGCAATGGCATGACATCGCCTCGTCGTCTCAAAATCACCATCGTCACCACGGATGTCTCTGTTTTTTTTTTTTTTTTGTCTTTGTCCTGCAAAAAAAACAAATTCCTCTGCTGCTTCTTCAAACAACACAATATGCCATCAATTTACATGTTGTTGTTTTTGTTGTCGTTGTTGTTGATGCTGCTCTTCTTGGGTTTATTGTTGTTGTTGAAAATACTGCAACATCACAAAACAAAAATCCAAAAACAACAAAAAACTACATGAACAATGGAATGAAAATTGTTGTCCTGGCAAACTATCATCAATGAATGTCCGGTATATTGTCGGATTTCTTTTTTGCTGCTGTTTTTGTATCGGCTGTGCAACCATTCTGGGTCCTTATCCTTTGTTATAACCCATGCAAATATTTTATTGCCAAAATTTTGTCGCTGCTCTCAGTTTTGGTCTACGACGGTGAAGTCCTGCCGCTGACCAAAGTGAGTCGCAACGAAATGGGTGCTTATCTCTGCATCGCCACCAACGGTGTACCACCTTCGGTATCAAAGCGTATAATACTGGATGTCGAGTGTAAGTAATAGATTAATGACTTTTAACTTGTGGTGGTTGTCTCTCACACACCGACATACATACATATATCCTTTCAATGGTGATTTATTCATTTGTCCATTTGACATAGTAGTGGGGTGGGGGGAAGGGGATGAGAGTGCGAAGATGTGAGACGAAAAGTGGAAAGATGCACCTAAGGATTGTTGATGTTGTCATTTTTATGGCCTCTTAAAAGACAAATGTTCTGTCAAATAGTTCCAAAACACTCATCCATACAATGCATCAATGTCGATGACCAGTCGTATGTGTAGACCTAGGTGTGGTGGTGGATAGCCCATCACTTAGCGATGTGGAAAATACAAAGCTATGTCGCCTACAGCATAATCTGTGTATTCAGGAGATTAAATACGAAACAATTGTCCACTGACTTTTGTTATGCCAGATATAGATTTGCGTTTTATTCGATTTTTAAGGTGGCCATATTTATTGCAATTTATTTTTAGGCTGCAAAAAGCAACACTGTGCTACAAATTTCAATCATTACGGGGAAAATCCAGCAAATTATGAAAGCAGAGTTAAAATAAAAATACAAGTGTAGCGGCTTTTTTTCAAAGTTTACATCGCAAAGTAACCTTAAAAGAGGGGACAAGTTCCCCGCTTTTCAACATTTTTGCCAATTTTTGGATTAAGATTCATACGTGCAATTTAGGTACAGGGTTGCCCATATTCGACGGACCTTTGGGCCCATTCCAATCGACGAGGCTTGTCCGCAGGCAACATTCTTTGCGTCAATTGAATTTTGTACGGGAACAAATGCAAATCAATGCGAATAATCCGTTGTAAAGTAGACCGAGCCATGCCCAACTGCTGAGAACGGCGTTTTTGGGATGTTCGTGGGGACCTCTCAACACTGGCTCGTACGACAGCGATATTCTCGGCCGATCGCCTGTTCGACCTTTATATGGCCTCTTCGGATTAGAAAGAGCCTTACCAGTCGAAAATTTTTCGTATAAACGCTTAATGGTGTTCTTAGAAGGCGCCCTTCTCACATTTTTTAATGTTTTAAAAGCACGTTGAGTTTTCACAATTGACTTCTTCTGTTGAATGTAAATTTCAACTATTTCAGAGCGCTCGCGTGGCGTGTATTGGTTCATGGTAAAAATCTGCTTGGACTGACGCTTCACACGCGGTATGTCATTAAGCGATGTGACATCTCTGTCAAAAGTTATGGCGTTGCCAGATGGGTCCGTCGAAAATGGGCAACCCTGTATATATTATCTTAGGCAATATTGCGGATAGAAATACAAGAAATATTTAGGACAAAAATGTCAACTTTCCAGTTTATAAAAAAGGGTTTTTGTGGTCCTTGTTTTATGAAATGGGTGAAACTCCCTTTAGACGGGATTGTAGAAAGACAACATACTCCACAAAGTTTGTTGTGATAAAATTCTATTACAGGATGATATAAAAAAACTGCAACCAACTTCAGACAGCTTTCATTTCTAAGCCAATCGTCCGACAGCTTTTAAAATCATTCCAGTGACAGCTCATTATATTGTTTACAAGTGCACAGACGGATTTTGGTGAGAATTCTCCAGAAAAAATGTATTCCTGATGGAATTCAAGCGTGATAGTGTGATTTCTGTATATTTGGCCGGAAAACAACAAGTGGCTATCGTTAGAGCACTTCAGCATTTAAATGTAAATAAATCGTTTGTGTCTCGTACCATTGCTCGTAACCGTGATACTTATAGTATAGCTCGACATCAAGGAAGTGAACGGAAGAAAACAGCAACATCAGCAGAAATGGTTCGAAAAGTAAAGAAGCGACTTGATCGACACCCGCTTTGCAGTGGCCGAATGACTCTATGGCTCGTGAGCTGAACATATCGCAATATTTCATTCGGTAAATATTGAAAAATGAGCTCGGGGTAAAGCCATTGCAATTCCAAAAAGTGCAAGAACTTATAACGAAACAGAAAGAAAATAGACTCAAAAGAGCTAAAGAGTTGGTTTTCTCCGATGGGAAAACATTCGTTGTCCAGCAGTTTGTAAACAAACAAAATGATCGTGTTTACTTGCCAAAGATTCCAGCTGAAAATGTGCACCTTCGGTTGGCCACCAGTACTCAAGTGCCGGCCATGGTGATGGTGTGGGCCGCCATAACAGCCGAAGGTCGCTCTCCGCTCGTATTAATTGACTGGCATCAGTATAAATGCAGAATATTATCGCCAACATATTCTGAAGGGTATATTAAAGCCGTGGGCACGCCAACATTTTGTCCGCAGACCATGGACAGAACTCAACATCATCGCACTCAGCACGCGTCACCCAAGAATTGTTACAAAACGAGGTTTCTCGCTTCATTTCCAGCGCACAGTGGCCACCAAAATCTCCGAATGCCAATCCGTTGGACAATTGTGTCTGGAGTATTTTGGAAAGCAAGGTTGGCACTAAAAAATACCAAAGTATTGATCACCTCAAGCAAGCGCTTCGCCGGGAATGGACCAAAATACCGCAGCACAACATTTCAGCAGCGTGTGACGATTTCATTGGCCGTTTGAAGGCCATAAGTCGTGCCAGAGCTGACAAATTCAAAAAAAATCTAAACTTGTTCTAAAATTTGTTCCCATTTCCGACAAGTTTTGCTTTCATTCAATAACATTAAAAAAACGTAAAAATCATGGTGTGTGACTTTGTTGCAGGTTTTTTATAGTACCCTGTATATTCTTGGTCAACATAAAATTCTATCGAGTTTAAGATGCCCGTCCGTCTGTGGAAACCCATCTAGCTTCCGAACGAATTGAAGTAGATTGATAACATTATACTCAAATGTGTGTTTGGTCTGCAGGATTTTTGGTAATGAAACTGGTTCAGGTTAAGGTATAGCCCCCATATGACGGTACCTCACTTTATTGGGTATTTTGATGATTTTAGCGACATTATTCATCGGAAATGTTTAAAATTTGGTATTTGAAGTTCGTAATGGGTACTTCAGCCTACGACAGAAAATTGTTTGTGCAGGTCCACGTCTTCGTATAGCCCCCATATAACGTTACCTGCCGAAATTCGGTATGTTGATGATTTCAGCGACATTATTCACTGGAATTGTTTCAAATTTGGTATTTCAAGTTCGTAATGGATACTACAGCCTACGATAGAAAATTGTCTTTTCAGGTCACGTCTTCATATAGCCCCAATATAACGATACTTCCCGATATTCGGAATATTGATGAATATTATGCACCAGAATTATTTACAATTTGGTATTTGAAGTTCGTAATGGGTGCTACAGCCTACAACAGAACATAGTCGATGCAGGTCCACGTCTTCGTATAGCCCCCATATATCGGTACCTCCTGACATTCGATATTTTGATGATTTTAGAGGCATTATTAAACGGAAATGTTTCAAATTTGGTATTTGTTCGTAATGGGTACTACAGCCTATGACAGAAATTTATCTGTGCAAGTTCACGTTTTCGTCTAGCCCTCTTAAAACGGTACCTCCAGATATTCGGTATTTTGATAATTTAAGCGACTTTATTCAACGGAAATGTTTCACATTTTGGTATTTGAAGTTCTTAATGGGTACTACAGCCTATGACAGAAAATTGTCTGTGCAGGTCCACGTCTTCGTGCACCACCAATTCAAGCTTCGCATTTAAATATTGTAACGGTTTATGACAAAAGTTGGCTATGCAGGACCACATCGTCGTATAGACCATAATATATCGGCTACATTCGGTATTTTTAAGATTTTAACAGAATTTTTAACGGATTTTATTTTTTTTGTACCCAGGCAAAGGAAACGAGATAAACCCATAGTTCCTTTTGATGATCTGCATAGAATCACTTTCTGAGTTGATTTATCCGTCTGTCCGTCCGTCTATATATATATATATATATATATATATATATATATATATACTAGCTGAACCCGGTGCGCTTCGCTACCCCTTTTGATTTTAAATGCATTCAAAATTTTATTTACGAATATATGTTGGTTAAAAAAAAACAAATTTTATAATTAAAAAAAAAAAATTATTGGACTACTTTAATGCGTAAATATACAAAACCATTAGAAAAACAATAACATGACATACATACACGAAGGGTTTGTCCTTCTGATTTATTTATTTCATAGCAAATACCAAGCGTGCAGTAAACTGCAATCTTTTGAAGTTGAGTGGCATTTCTGTTGCAATTAATGAATTCGAGATAGCAACATACTTCGCCGTAATAAGCGTATTTCAAATTAATTGTTGTGTTGTTTTTTAGTGTTAGCCTAAGGCGTTGTGGGTCAATGGTTCTTATTAAAATCATATCCCAATCTGATCCGATTTAAATATAATTTTAAAAAAAATACTTTTACACCAAATTCCGCCACACCTTTCATATTTCATTGAAATTGGTGCGTCAAATACGTGAAATCGGCCGAGAATATATATATGGGAGCTATATCCAAATCTTAACTAATTTCCAATTAATTTGTCACATTTATTATTGTAACCACACATATGTTAGCTATACCCAAACCTCAACTGATTTCAATAAAATTTGACAATTTTTTCTGGTGCCAGATTTCGTCTTTCTCGCTTTGGGTGCATCAAATATGTGAAATCGGCTGAGTATATATATGGGAGCTATAATTAAATCTGAGCGTATTTGAAAATAATTTGTCAAATTTATTTTTGTACCAAATTTAGCCACTCATGCCGAATTTCATTGGAATCGGAAATACGTATCGTGTTTTGTGCATCAAATATGTGAAATCGGCGGAAGATATATATGGGACCTATATCCAAATCTGAACCGATTTTAATATAATTTGACTAATTTATTTTCTAATCAAAATGCCGTTACATATTCCAAATTTCTTTGGAATCGAACATACATATCGTGCATGGTGCATAAAATACATGAAATCGGTCGAAAATATATATGAGAGCTATATCCAAATCTGAACCGATTTTACTATAATTTGACAAATGTATATTCGTTTTAATTCCCCTACAGATTCCAAATTTCATTGAAATTGGGGATACATAGCGTGTTTGGTGCATCAAATGCTTGAAATCGGCCGAAAATATATATGGGAGCTATATCCAAATCTGAACCGATTTCAATATAATTTGACAAATTTATTTTCGGATCAAATCCCGTCACATATTCCAAATTTCATTGGAATCGAACATTCATATTGTGTTTGAGGCATCAAATGAACGAAATCGGTCGAAAATATATATGGGAGCTATATCCAAATCTGAACCGATTACAATATAATTTAGCAAACTTATTTTTGTTCCAAATTCCGTTACACATTCCAAATTTGTATACTGTATCTTTAACCGATCAATAGATATGTGCATATAAAATCTAAATTTTTGGGAGGTACCTCCGATTCTGATGCTATATCTCCAGTTCCAAGTGGAAATTCAAAAATGTATATAGCCTATGTTACTTTCAGGCGATGTTGCAGTATATGTGGAAATTTTCAGAAAAATCTATTCAGCAGTTTTCGAGTCCACAAATTACAAACAAACAAACAAACAAACAAACAAACGTACAAACATTTTCCTCTTTTATAGATATAGAAGAAGATATATATATATATATATATATATATATATATATATATATATATATATATATATATATATATATATCTTTATCTGATTTCAAATTAATTTTGCACCAAATGGGCAATACAAGTCCGAATTTAAAAGATACAAATGCTTTGGCATATTTAGGCTTTTGAACTTTAAATTATAATTATAATCATAGCGTCTATGATTGAATTCTCCCATAAAAACTGTTAATTTTTATGTGGATCTCAACTAAATTAGTCAAGTGGTGTAGGGTATCATAAAATCGGCCCCGCCCGACTTTAGGACTTTCTCTACTGGTTTTTATTTTATTTTTATTTTTTATTTATTTATTTATTTTTTTTGAAAATTGTCAAAATCATTCCAAATGGTACAGGGTATTCAAAGATCGACCCGGTCGAACTTACAGCTTTTTTATATATATAAAAAATATATACCAAAAAACTTAAGTGTTCTTCTTGAATTTTTGTGTATTTTTGATGTTAAATATGTAGTCTCCCAGTTTCTTAATTTTAAAATTTACCAATTGTTTTAAAGAGAATCCATTACTTGCTACCAATTTCTCCGCCATCCACTTTTCAATATGCCAAATTATCAATTATTTTACAATGTCATGGTACAATGGGAAAACTGTTGTGTACCACTCTCCATATTTGACTGTGCCGCACAGAAAATCCAGGATTTGAAACAAGAGTCACGTACTAAAAATCATTCGAAGAATTACACTTCATTTTACTTCAAGGTGTTGTTTGCCGAAACAAAGTAACAGTTGGAAAAGTTTGACTAAAAAAAACAGGCGGAGGGAATTTTGTTGGAGTTTACGTTCTCTCTTCCAAACTTAAAAAAGTATTAAAGTCTTTGGTGTTGATGCTTGACAATAACATGGATCCGAAAGTAAAATTTTGAAGGTGTTTTCTTGTAAATTTTGAAATGGCAAAAAAATCTAATTGGTTATTCAATACACGTGGTTGTTGTTGTTTTAGACACCACAAAATTTTGTTGCATATTTTTTGTTCTGTTTGTGAACAAAGCCATTTTAAGCTTTGCACGTAAATATTGGAGGATTCTTTATTTTCCATGAAATGAAAAACGTCTGGGGATTTTCTATTTTCCTTTTACACGTTTTTGCTGTTCTCACTCTCGTGATGGGTAGGCACCACCACCACCACCATACACCACACACACACTAGACAAGATGTTTATAATGTTTTCTCTGCTTTTTTTTTTTCTTCCTTTCAAATTTATTATTGTTCTCCTTTTCCTTCATTCACCTTACCATCATCAATATTTTGCCTCAACACACACACACCCACCTTTGGCCATAATAGTTTCTCCAATGATTTGGGTTCCGAATCAACTTGTTGGAGCTCCAGCTGGCACTGATGTTACCATTGATTGCCATACGGAAGCACATCCCAAGTAAGTTGACATTTATTAAGCCTATTGCGTGTTCTCGAGGAGGCGAGAGACGTAAATGTCCTCCCTACTCATGCAAACTGAGGAGAGGAATGGAAAGTTTTTAATTATTTAACAATTTTATATTCTTTCTCGTTTTCTCGTACCTTGTGTCACCCCCAAACCTAACATCTAGAGCCATAATCTATTGGGTTTACAATTCGGTTATGGTCCTGCCAAGTAAGAAGTATAAAACCGACTATACGGAGAATTCCTACAGGTAAGTCACAATCATTTCAATTTACTATTCAAAAGTGTGCTTAACTTATGTTTGGGGCGGTGACGAGGAGAGGGTATGCATGACATGTGTGTGTGACAGGCATAAAGACGGACGAAGCCATTTAACTAAATAGAAGAGGACAAATATTAAATATGTCTTAAGTCAACTACAGCCATTCGTACGAACATTAGTTGCTAATATTCTCCTATGGATTTTAAACTAATAAACAAAAGTCATTTTATCAAAAGTTGACAAAACTTGTCCCAAGAGTTTGAAGTTGATGTATGAAAGAGGCTTGAGTACCAGGTACAGTATGCGGGAAATTGAATTATGATTTAGGGTAACGATGCATGAGATTTTAATTACAATCGTCATTATACCCGGTGCTAGGTCATAATCCTCACGGACATATCCCCATTCTATTATGGGGTTACGACCTTTTTTTCGGTCATAGAATAGAATGAGAATTACGTCGCAAAAATGGGTTATAATCCCCAAAAAATAGCGGACATAATAATCAGGATTATGTCCAAAATGACATAAACCCCTATATGGGGTAGTTACTTTTAACCTGATTACGCCAAAGTAAATTTCCCATTTCAAATTTCAGGTTTTTAGTTCCAACCGCTAACATAATACAAAATGGTACCAAATGTAGTACATATGCGTACTTTTCGTACACTTATAGTGCGAATTTGCGAAAACCCCATGGTACATCTAGCACTCACTCCATCCGTCACCCTCATTACAAATTAAAGAGTTCTAGCTGTACTGCTTCCTCCATATTTAGCATATCTAGTACCATATTTGGTACCTTTAGCATACCGTTATAATACGAATTTCCAAAAACCCAGCCTTATCTGACTCCTTCGGATAAATTTTCAAGATTCCAGCCAGTCTGTCAATTTCTGTGCTCTTTTATTAATATAGATTAAGAAAAAATTGTACACAAGTCAGATTTTTGGGCCCCAGGACAAACTCCATTAATTGATTGTTGGAAATCTGTCCAAATTAAGTTATATATACACCAGGTGACGATTTTTAAACGCCATTCTGGCTTATGATGTGACTGGAGGTAAAGAGAAGGCTTGAAGGGAATATACTTTTTTTTAGTAGATCCTACACTTATATGAAAATTTCAGCTTTAAAACTACTAAGGATGCTAATTTCGAAAACACATATTTTTTTAATACGTACCGTCTAAACTTCTCGCTTTTTATACTCTCAGACATATGGCTAGAGAGGGTATATATTATTTGATAGTCAAAACGTGCCTAGTCGAAATAACTCTTTTAGACTCTAGGTCTCTTTGGACCAAATCGGTTTCAGGGCATTTGGAGTCGATCAAGAGTTGTCCGTCCGTCTGTCTGTCTGGCTGGCTGGTGCGCACGATAACTCTCGAGGGAAATATCCGATTTGGTCCAAACTTGGTACATCAGAATATTATTATTAAACTTATATCGTATTCGTAGATGGACAATATCGGTCCAGTAGTTCTGGTAACTCCTCCACAGAAAGAGAAATATACTTCAATTTTGCTCCAACTTTGCAAATCCTACGTCACTAAGTCAGGTGCGAAAATTGGCAAGAATTATGATTATTCCAAATGTGCTTGATATATTCGATATATTCCATCTTCGGTCCACTCCTTCTGGTACATCGCCGACAAAGTGTCAAAAATTTGAATATAAATGAAGCTCAAACAAGTAAAAAAGCAGTAAGTTCGGCCGGGCCGATCTTTGAATACCCTGCACCATTTGGAACGAATTAGAAATTTTTCAAAAAATAAAATCCATTAAAAATTCTGTTAAAATCAGTACCGATATATGGGGGATATACGATATTGTGGACCTATATAGACAATTCTCTTTCAGGGGTTAAAGTGCTCACAAAGAACTCCTTGTGTGGATTTTCAGACAATACCATAGGAAAATATGGCTAAAATCATCAAAATACCGAATAACGGCGGTACCGTTATATGGGGGATATACGATATCGTTAACCTATATATGTCAGGGGGTAAACTGCTCACAAAGAACAATTACAATTTCGGACAATTCCGTTGAAAAATGTAACTAAAATCATCAAAATAGCGAATATCGGGGGTACCGTTATATGGGGACTATACGATATCGTGGACCTATATAGATAATTCTCTTCCAAGGGATAAAGTACCCACAAGGAACTTCTTGTGTGGATTTTCAGACCATTTCATTAGAAAATGTGGCTAAAATCATCAAAATACCTAAGAAAGGGGGGGTACCGTTATATGGGGGATATACGATATTGTGGACTGATATTGCCCATCTTCGAACTTGACCTGCCTGCAGACCAAAGAGGGATCTGTGCATTTTTAGATTTCTATCTTAATTCGTTTAGACTGTAGCGTGATTACAACAGACGGACAGACGGACGGACATGGCTAAATCGTCTTAGAATTTTACGCTGATCAAGAATATATACTTTGTTGGATCTAAAATGATTATTTCGATGAGTTACAAACGGAATGACGAACTTAATATACCCTAAATACTATGTATGGTGGAGGGTATAAAAACACGAAATTAACATCCGATTCCATTCAGACTTGGTACATCTCAATATTTCCAGCAACACAATATCTGTTTTAAAAATGGTAGAGATAGGACCATTTCTTCTGGTACCACCCCCACAATGAGTCAAAACTATGAATAATCAAAACGATCATAAAATCCGAAATAATTATCCAGTTCTCTTCAAATAAGATCTGCTGTGAATATATCGGCGCCCTCCTTCCGGTAGCTTCTACACAAAAAGTCAATATTTTGAATGCCCATGAAGCTCATAAGTCGCGAAATTAACATCTGATCCCATTCAGACTTGGTACTTCTCAACACTTCCATCAACACAAGATCTGGTATTAAGATGGAAGAGATCGGACTATTTATTCTGGTACCTCCCCCATAAAGGGACGAGAGTGGGAATATTTATAACTCATGGCTGGGGGTAAACATCTGTCGGCAATATAAACTTATACTATTTAACTTTTTTATATGTCTATCAAGCATCGCTTCAGCTCTGACCTCTTCTATTCTAGGTTTTAGAATTTTTAAGGTCAAATACCAAGGGAGCATCAAGAGGTTGACACTGCTTAAATATAACTTTATTGATATTTGCTAATTTATTACAATATAATAATAGAACCTAAAGATTTGAATTAATGGGTATTAATCCAATGACCTTTGGCTGTTCATCCACTCTATCAAAGTCTATTATAGTGTGAATTTTATAAGTATGTATGCATCAGCAACAACAACGACAAAAACAATATGCATCAAATGTGAATTGATAACTTTGATATCACACATGAAGAGAAAGACAGACTCAGAATCCTATGTCTTTATAATTTCGGCTTCAGCAATTTTCTTGTGTGTACAAACACACGCACGCACACACACACCTATATACTCGTACGTTTGTATCTATGTGTCGAACAACGGTAAAACATTATTTATGGCAAATAGTCTAGAGTCGAACAAAAACTGTCAAAGATGTCTTAAGAGACTTTTAAAAGTTTACTTTTTATACCCTACAACACTATGTGTTGGGGGTATTATAAGTTTGATTGGGCCAAAAATTATGTAACACCACGAAATATTGGTTTCCCACATAGGAAAGTATATATGGATCATCCTAGCTCGCCGAGCTGAGTCGATCTAGCTATGTATGTCCGTCCGTCCGTCTGTCCGTCTGTCCGTCTGTCCATGTTAATTTGTAATCACTCTACAGGTCGCAATTATGGCCCGATCTTCACGAAATTTGGAATGGAGGTCGGGGTTGGGCCAGAATAGAACCCTATTTCTTTTTGAGATGATCGCCAAATGTTTAGGGGTTGAAATGGACCAAATACTGAAAAAATGTCGGATTTTGCAGTAGCTATACAGGTCGCAATTATAGACCAATCGACGCGGAATTTCGCATGTAGCTAGAGTTTAGGACGGGGAAGAAGCCTACCAATTTGGGTGGTCATCGGATAATATTTAGCGGGTAAAATAGACCATATATTTTGTGTTGAAAAAATTCAACATTTTTCATTAAACCGCGAATATTTTAAATCCCGGCGAAATCACAAAGCCATGACAAGGTTACTTCTGACCTTTACATTGATGTTAACATCCAACAAATCGGATATATAGCAAAACAAGTAAGCAAAGGCTACAGTCGAGCGGGGCCGACCGTTGAATACCCTACAACACTATAATAAACGATACAGTTTATAAAGGCGAGATACTCGAAAGAATTCCACAAGATATTGTGACAAATTATAAAAGAAAACCATCAGGTTTCGTTCTCTAATTTTCGAATAATAGCAACTTAAACTAATTTGCTCATTTCCAATTTATTGGTAGATGTTGCACTCAAATGGTCTTCCTAGATCTGGAACCAATATTTCCCAAAGACATATAGTCTCTCAGAAGTGGCAAAAGATTAACATTTATTATTGGTTTTTGACTGAAACGCATCTATGACAGACATTTGACTAAGTTCGTTAACGAAATTGTCAGAAGTGTGTCTTTCCTGTATTTGTGAATTCTCGAAAAAGTCTCTGGAATGGACATTTTCGTATTTTGTCTACAAAAGTTGGCAAACTATTTCACACATTGAATATTTTTGGATGGCCATCCAAAACTGCTTGGCTTTTGCAATGTCCCCCTTTCAAATGTGCGTGATGATCGGGCGATAATTACGACCTGCCGACAATTTTGCAGTTTTTTGGTCCATTTCAACCCCTAAATATATGGCGTTCATCTCCAAAAAGAGTAGGCTTCTATTCTGGCCCTCATCTTATCCCCATACAAAATTTCGTAAGGATCGGGCCATAAATGCGATCTGTATATGATATTCTGATATCCTAACTACTTAGTTTTGTTAGCTGTAGAAATATTACCAAATGTTTAATTCAAAATGAAAATATGCCAAAAATATGACAAAATTGAAAAAATATGAGAAAATTTTACAAAATCAATATTTTCATCTTTAGAGAGATATTTTTATGCGATTTTTTAGACGTTTTTTCTTTCCTGCCAAGAGGCCATTCTGAATTAATGAGAACTGTCGAAATCAGTTCAGCCGTTCTCGACATATAAGGGATTTTTCAAGCCTATCTTCTTTGATAGACATATATATCGCACATTTTTTTTGCTATATATCCGATTTGTTGGATGTTAACATCAATGTAAAGGTCAGAAGTAACCTTGTCATGGCTTTGTGATTTCGCCGGGATTTAAAATATTCGCGGTTTAATGAAAAATGTTGAATTTTTTCAACACAAAATATATGGTCTATTTTACCCGCTAAATATTATCCGATGACCACCCAAATTGGTAGGCTTCTTCCCCGTCCTAAACTCTAGCTACATGCGAAATTCCGCGTCGATTGGTCTATAATTGCGACCTGTATAGCTACTGCAAAATCCGACATTTTTTCAGTATTTGGTCCATTTCAACCCCTAAACATTTGGCGATCATCTCAAAAAGAAATAGGGTTCTATTCTGGCCCAACCCCGACCTCCATTCCAAATTTCGTGAAGATCGGGCCATAATTGCGACCTGTAGAGTGATTACAAATTAACATGGACAGACGGACAGACGGACAGACGGACAGACGGACGGACGGACATACATAGCTAGATCGACTCAGCTCGGCGAGCTAGGATGATCCATATATACTTTCCTATGTGGGAAACCAATATTTCGTGGTGTTACATAATTTTTGGCCCAATCAAACTTATAATACCCCCAACACATAGTGTTGTAGGGTATAAAAAATGTGCGATATATATGTCTATCAAAGAAGATAGGCTTGAAAAATCCCTTATATGTCGAGAACGGCTGAACTGATTTCGACAGTTCTCATTAATTCAGAATGGCCTCTTGGCAGGAAAGAAAAAACGTCTAAAAAAAATCGCATAAAAATATCTCTCTAAAGATGAAAATATTGATTTTGTAAAATTTTCTCATATTTTTTCAATTTTGTCATATTTTTGGCATATTTTCATTTTGAATTAAACATTTGGTAATATTTCTACAGCTAACAAAACTAAGTAGTTAGGATATCAGAATATCATATACAGATCGCATTTATGGCCCGATCCTTACGAAATTTTGTATGGGGATAAGATATATATGTCTATCAAAGAAGATAGGCTTGAAAAATCCCTTATATGTCGAGAACGGCTGAACTGATTTCGACAGTTCTCATTAATTCAGAATGGCCTCTTGGCAGGAAAGAAAAAACGTCTAAAAAAATCGCATAAAAATATCTCTCTAAAGATGAAAATATTGATTTTGTAAAATTTTCTCATATTTTTTCAATTTTGTCATATTTTTGGCATATTTTCATTTTGAATTAAACATTTGGTAATATTTCTACAGCTAACAAAACTAAGTAGTTAGGATATCAGAATATCATATACAGATCGCATTTATGGCCCGATCCTTACGAAATTTTGTATGGGGATAAGATGAGGGCCAGAATAGAAGCCTACTCTTTTTGGAGATGAACGCCATATATTTAGGGGTTGAAATGGACCAAAAAACTGCAAAATTGTCGGCAGGTCGTAATTATCGCCCGATCATCACGCACATTTGAAAGGGGGACATTGCAAAAGCCAAGCAGTTTTGGATGGCCATCCAAAAATATTCAATGTGTGAAATAGTTTGCCAACTTTTGTAGACAAAATACGAAAATGTCCATTCCAGAGACTTTTTCGAGAATTCACAAATACAGGAAAGACACACTTCTGACAATTTCGTTAACGAACTTAGTCAAATGTCTGTCATAGATGCGTTTCAGTCAAAAACCAATAATAAATGTTAATCTTTTGCCACTTCTGAGAGACTATATGTCTTTGGGAAATATTGGTTCCAGATCTAGGAAGACCATTTGAGTGCAACATCTACCAATAAATTGGAAATGAGCAAATTAGTTTAAGTTGCTATTATTCGAAAATTAGAGAACGAAACCTGATGGTTTTCTTTTATAATTTGTCACAATATCTTGTGGAATTCTTTCGAGTATCTCGCCTTTATAAACTGTATCGTTTATTATAGTGTTGTAGGGTATTCAACGGTCGGCCCCGCTCGACTGTAGCCTTTGCTTACTTGTTTGTTGTTATTTTTGTTTCCATCCACAAGGAAATGAAAAATTGCCAGAACGCAGAAGAAGACAGAGGTGGAGAAGGAGCCCAAAAGTAGCTAGGAATGGATGACATAAAAATTTGCCAAAAAGAAGATGTAAATTCTTAGGAAATATTTAAGGACTTTTTAAATAGTTGCACACAAAGTTTGAAACTAAACATAAATTTCAGGCCAATAAACACGCTTGTCACTCATTAAAGTTTTTCAGTTAATGAATTTAATGACAATTATTTAAATTGAAATTCATGGAAACCGCGTAACGAGAACAATTCCTGCTTAATTAAATTGGAAAAACTCTTGAGTGAAGGGAAGGAAGAGAGGTCTCACAGCCAAGTCACGTGTTGGCTTACAAGGCGATGGGGGAAAACATTTTCTAATTTATTTGAATATTATAACCGTTTAAATTGTTGAATATTTCCACATCAAAGTGGAGTGAGCTTTAGGTAAACTATTAAATCTCTTAAGCGGTATTAATTAACATTACGTGGAAAATATTTATATGTAAATAATTTAAATAGACTCCTTTGACATTTCATAATGTGAAGCAATGTTGAATGTGTAATGAGGTCACACAAGCTTACCCCTGTTTTATCACTTAAAGATTTAAATTCTTTTGATGATTTTGATGTTTTCAATTTGCCTTTTTTCTCTGCTACTTTAGAGCCCACATGAAACTGACAATAAGAAATCTCCAATATGGCGACTTTGGAAACTATCGATGTATATCCAAAAATTCTCTGGGAGAAACAGAAGGATCAATACGAGTGTACGGTAAGTTGCAACAAATTTTCTTGCTATTTTTCATAGACTCATGAAAAACAAAAAAATTGGAAATGAAAATTGGAAAAAATCCATATTAGTCTATTTGCCTATAGATATGTAATCTCAGCATGTGATCATATATACAAATTCACGATTTTTGCTAAGTAATTCTCCCAAATGGTGGGAAGGTATCCAGAAAAACTTGGTCTTTAGCAAGTAAAAAAACAGCAACTTCTGCCGGGCCGAACTTTTGATACCCTCCACTATTTGGAACGAAGTTAGAATATTTCAACAAAAATAAAATCCGTAAAAATTTCTGTTAAAATATGAAAAATACCGAATATAGCCGTTGTATTGGTTTCTATACGAAGACATGGACTTGCATAGTCAATTTTCTGTCATAGACTGTAGATCCTATTACGAACTCCAAATAAGAAATTTGAAACAAATCCTATGAATAATGTCGCTAAAATCATCAAAATACCGAATATTGGGAAGTACCGTTATTTCGGGACTATACGAAGACCTAGAGCTGTGTAGACAATTTTCTGTCACAGGCTGTAGTACCTGTTAGGAACTTGAAATACGAAATTTTAAATAATTTCGGTGAATATTGTACTTGAAATCATGAAAACACCGAATATAGGAAAGTACCGTTATATGGGGTCTATAGGAACACCAGGACTTGTATATACAATTCTCTGTCATAGACTGTAGGTCCTATTGCGAACTCTAAATACGAAATTTGAAACAAATCCGGTGAATAATGTAGCTAAAGTCGTCAAAATATCGAATTTGGGGGGTACATTTGTATCGTAGATCTATATAGACATTTCTCTGACAGGTGTAAAGCGCTTAAAAAGATCTTCTAGTATGGATTTTTAGGCAATTCCATTTAAAAATGTAGCAAAAATCATAAAAACACCGAATATAATGAGGTACCCTTGTATGGGCAATATACGATATCGTGGACCTATATGGATAATACTCTTCCAAGTGGTAAAGTATTCAGAAGGAACTCCTTTTGTGGATTTTCAGACAATTCCATTTACAAATGTGGCTAAAATCATAAAAATACCGAAAATCGGAGATACCGTTATATGAGGGCTATACGATATCGTGGACTGAAGCTAAAATTTTGCCACCGATCTGTATTTTGTCTGCAGGCGGGTCAAGTTGGAAGATGGGCTATATCGGTCCACAATATCGTATAGCCCTCATATAACGGTACCCCCAATATTAGGTATTTTAATGATTTTAGCCACATTCTTTAATGGAATTGTCTGAAATTCTACACAAAGAGTTCTCTGAAAGTATTTAACCCCCTAAAAGTAATTGTCTATATAGATCCACGATATCGTATATCCCCCATATAACTGTACCTTCCGAAATTCGGTAGTTTGATGATTTTAGTCACATTTTTCAATGGCATTGTCTGAAATGCTACACAAGGAGTTCTCTGTGAGTACTTGACCCCCCGGAAGAACATTTTCTATATAGGTCAACGTTTTAGTATAACACAGGGATGATATGGACTGAAAACAGAAAAAAATGCCGATTTTACAGTTGCTCCACAGGCCACAATTATAAATATGTCAACACTGGACGGGGTTATAGTTTGGTACTGGGCAGAAGCCTATCAATTTGGATGGTCATCGGATAATGATTAGAGTGTGAAATGGACCATTATTTTTGTGAATAAAAAAAATTGGAAAAAATGGACTTTCTATTACATTTGTGTTGGTTGTACAAGTAGGAGAGGGCCAACATATTCTACGTTTCATCGAATTATTACAACGTACAAGGTTTATATTAAATGCTCCCTGCAAGAGTTATGGTGCGCCTTAGTAAGATGGGCGGACATCGATAGAACTTCTTCGAAATTCCTGAAATAGATTTCGTCAAAATATCAAGGATCTTCAATATATTTGAAATATTTCTTAGGGTAGAAATAATCTAATATAAGGCGAAGAGAATCTTAATTTTGTTCTATAACGTCGCTACATATTTAGGTTGCTAATATGAACAATATGAACCTAGAATTCGAGAGGGAGTACTTTTGCGAGAAAAAAAAAACAGAAATTTAATATACTTTTTTTTTGGGCTACTCGAAAAGAGGGAGTAGACTTGCTCGTTTTCGAGTGAGGGTAGATTTCACCCGTAAATCGATCAGATTCCAATCTTAAAGAGTATTGTTTTGTTTTTTGTCTATATGTAGGGTAAGTGTGCCTAAGTTCGGCATGTCCCAGTAGTCGGCACTTTTTATTTTTAAGCTCAAATAAATTAAACTATTATAACTAAATGTTTTTTGTTTACTTCAAATATATTGTCAGCTATCTTTGTGCACAATTTTGCTAAGAAAATATGAATTATTCTAATAAAAATTAAATTTTTGTCTGTGAACGTCCTCAACAATTCATATTCTTAAGAAAAGTACAATAAAGACGTCGAATCAGTTTAACTAAACAAAAATATTATATTTTAATGAATTAATTTATTATTATTATTAATTATTCTTACAAAAAATGGTATGTTGACTGTTGGAAAATGCCATAAAGAAAATTGGCAAGTGGTGCGACTACTGGCAAAAAAGGATTGTTTTAATAAAACTACAAATTTATGAAATTTAACAAAAAGTTATTAAAACCTTATTTATTATTGCAAAAACTATACAAAATTTCGAATCTGAATAAATTAACTTTGTAGTAATTGAAATGTTCCACTCAGAATGGTGAGCGATTAAAAACGCGAAAATCATAAAAGTGCCGACTACTGGTACAGTTACCCTATGCGTATTTTCTCATATGATAGTGTTGATGTTCCTGTTGTTCTTCTACCCAAACTCAATCGGCGCTTTGCTTCTGCTGATTTTCTCTTTATAGCTTTTGTACACGATCAAACCTCACAGCATACAGCAACTTAAACGCACGAACACACAAATCAGCAAACTCCACACGTTTTTGCTCTCTTTATTATTTATTCTTACTCTACTTCAAGTATTTTGACCTCCGCTCAGTTATTGCAACAGATTTAAATCGTGAGCGCTCCCGCATAAAACGAAAGTGTCGAGATTAAACAAATCGGCTTCCAAATATGTTTCAGTTGAGAGCACAAGCTAGATAATCTGAGATCTGGTTAAAATATTGAAATATCTCATTTGATCCGGTCAAGTTTTTGCAAAAAGTTAAGAGGTTTTTGCAAACATTTTCCAGTTCTGACTTGAGTCTTACTTTTTGCTGAATTGAGTGCAATTTTACCCTTTTTTAATACATTTAGAGGATACATTACTAGGTCAGGTCTAATGGGGTCATTTTTAACCTAATATTTCCTACTTTTCCCTCCGATGCTGCGCATATATATTTAATTTTTAAGGTTTTGATTCTCTTTCATACGTAAATGACAATACGTATGTTTATTTGTATGCCGCTCTTTTTTATTACCTCCACCCTAGTAACACCTCGAAACGTAAATTTTAGACCCCACAAATTATGTATATACTTGACCGGCATAAACTGTATGTCGATTTATTGATGTCCATTCGCATATCTATGCATCTGTGGAAATAGCTCTAACTTCCGAACAAAATGAAGGAGCTTAATAAAATTTTATTTAGACGTGTGTTCAGTCTGCAGGACTTCTGTTATTTAAAATGGACTATATAGGTCTAAGTTTTGTTGATTTGCGTCAAACTTTTCACCGAAAGTGTTTCAAATTTGGAATTTAAATTTCCTAATGAGTACAGAGACCCGGAGTTGTATTACATATATAGGTCCGGGACTTTGTAACGGTACCACTCAATGATCGGTATTTTGATGATATTAGCGAAATTATTCACCGGAATTGTTTAAAATTTGGTATTTGAAGTTCCTAAGTCTATGATAGAAAATTGCCTTGCAAACCTTCGAATTGGCCGCAATATAACGGCATTCGACATTTTTATAATTTTAACAGTATTTTTCATCGGAATCTTTTGAAAATTTGCAAATATCTTCGAACGGTGGAGGGTATTCAAAAATTGACCTGCTCATTTTTCCTTTTTTGTCTATCTCAAAAATATGTACCTACACTATAGGATCATTTTCATATAATACATAACACCCGGATCAAATATGATATTCTGATATATAAATATGAATAATTTTTCTTTAAACGTATTTTCCCTAAAAGTTCACGCAGCTTAATTCCCAATTATTAGCTTATTTCACACTTTAATGTATTTCTCTTTCAGAAATTCCGCTGCCATCAACGCCTTCAAAGCAGGTGACGCATTCTACAATAGATACGAGAGAAAGTAAGTACCTTGTTTAAATATTTCATTTTATTTAAAAAAAAATATATATATTACTTTTCTATAATTGTTTCAATATTTTTCTCTTTTTTCCCATAGACAATATCATACCGATTCGTAATGATTCTCTCAAGTCATTACAAACGGATGTGCATTCGCTGAAAAATGAATTACTCGGGACGAGTGATTCCACATCTCCAGCTTTGCAGGGTGCAACAGCGCTGGTGCCGTCATTGACGGGAAATAATCTACAAATCTATGGATCATCCAGTAGTTCTGTGGAACGCAAGGGACTGCTGGCGATAGGAAAGAGTATGTCTTATACTGAGCTTCCACCCAATCACCTAGAAGATTCATCAGGTAAATGAAGATTTTATATTAGAACAAAATATATTAAGCAGAAAATGAAAAATTTTATTAATATACAAAATTAAATTTCGTTTGTTTAGAATTTTTTGTTTTTATAAATTATAACTTTTATTAGCTCATTAAAAATTACCCAACATTTTCCTTGTATATCTCTTATCACCTTTCAGCCTGGACAGCGAAACCCCCACTGTACTTAATTGTCTACTGCAGTGGCTTTGCGTGGATGTTCCTAAGATGGACGGCGTAAAAGTGTCATGGTATTGACAGCCATATCCGGTTATAATATCGTACACCAGCAGGAGACTAATTTAATTCAATTCAATTCATTTTACTTTTTGTTTCAAAATACAAAGGATGTCAAGTTAATTGTGATGGATGGCAGCATGTCACATTAGCTATCTGAGTACGACCGCAAAGTCTTGCTGTTTATGAATTACAGAAACCCCTCCCCTTATCCCTCTCCTTTAAAATGTTGAAATTGACAATAATGCAAATAATACATATCACACAGTCACATGCAGAAAAAGGATACACATATCAGACACAGAGACATATACACCCCTAATTTTCATATATAAATCAAACTAAAAAGTTTAAGGGATTTAATTGAAAGTTCCCATACCACAAGATATATTTGAGGTCTTATTCTATAATACCTAAGGTTCTATCCTGTAAGACCTGAGGTCTTGTTCTATAAGACCTGAGGTCTTATTCTATAAGACCTGAGGTCTTATTCTAAAAGACCTGAGGTCTTATTCTATAAGACCTGAGGTCTTATTCCATAAGACCTGAGGTCTTATTCTATAAGACCTGATGTCATATTTTATAAGACCTTCTGTTTGGTTATCCAACAAAAATCCCTTAAATGTAAGAAAGACTGCTGAGTTAACGTCGTTTAAAATTTCCAAGTTCTCGGCTATAAGGACCTACTACAGGTGAGAGTTATGTGCAAAGTTGGTCCGTTTTACTAGTTCATAGTTCAATACACCAGTTTCTAGACGAATGAGTGATTCCATATTGCCTTCGTCATTTATGATTGCTTCATTGATTCAAAACCGACTTTTTTTGATGTTTAAAAAAAGACTTCTGGTCTTTCATAAAAGCTGGCCTCTAGAAGGAAGATCCTTTAGATCCTTTAGAATAGAATAACAGGTTGAGATAAAAAAATGCAACAAAGTCATACGCCATAATTTTTACATTTTTTCTAAATTTTATTGGATGAAAGCAATAAATTTCGGAAGTAGCATCCAATTTTAGAATAAGTTTAGATATGTTCGAATTGATCATCTTTGACACGAATTATGGCCTTCAAACGGCGAATGAAACCGTCACACGCTGTCCAAATGTTGCTCTGCGGTATTTTGGCCCATTCCTGGCGAAGCGCTTGCTTCAGGTGATCGACACTTTTGTATTTTTTTTAGTGAAAACATTGCTTTCCGAAATACTCCAGACACAATAGTCGAACGAATTGGTGGCTATTGTGCGCTGGAAATAAACCGAGGAACCTCATTTCATTACTATTATGGCGACTCACACCATCACCATGACCGCTTGAGTTCTGGTGGCCAACCAAAGGTGCACATTTTCAGCTGACCTCTTTGGCAACGAATGTTTTCTCATCGGAGATGTAGAAAACCAAATTCGGCAGTTCAGCACTTTCGAACAAGCGAAGCAACTCTTTTGAGTCTATTTTTTTTTTTCTGTTGCGGTGTAAGTTCTTGCACTTTTGGACCACTGGGTTTCGATCAAGTCACTTCTTTACTTATCTAATCATTTCTGCTGATGTTGCTGTTTTCTTCCGTCCACTTCCTTGACGTCGGGCCTCGAAATCACGGTCAGTATCACGGAAACGAGTGATGGTACGAGACACAAAAGATTTATTTACATTTAAATGCTGGATAACCACTTGTGGTTTTCTAGCCAAATATAAAGAAATCATATTATCACGCTTGAATTCCATCACGAATAACTTTTTTTCTCTAAAATTCTCACCAAAATGCTTTTGTACGCTCGTGAACAACATAATACGTTGTCACTGCAATAATATAAACAGCTGTCGGACTAGTGGCTTAGAAATGACAGCAGTCTGAAACTGGTTGCAGTTATTTCATCTCACCCGTCGTCGTTTCCAAAATCTCTCTAGTGTTTCCGATTAAAGTCTCCCCTCTGGTAGCCTAAATTGCCTGATAATTGTAATCATCTTATTAATGTTTGGATTTTCTTATTAATGTTTGCCAAAAAAAAAGTATTTCAAAAAATATTCCCGTTAGTAGTCTTTCCATTTTACGTTTAATAACTGCTTCAACCTTGGAAATAAAGACTCCTCTCTGGTAGCCTACACTGACTGATAATTCGAGTCATGTACGGATTCAAAAGGGACTTTCTTATTACTTTTGCCAAAAAAAAAAAAAGTATTTTAATCGCCTTACCATTTTAAGTGTCATAAATACTTCAACCTTGGAATTCAAACCCTCCCTTCACCATTTAGAAGAGTTTAGGTAATCTTGTGGTCTGATATTGAAAATTTTCTTAAATTAAATCGATTAAATAAACACATATCAACTCATATCCCTAAAATCGTACATATCTCCCTCCCCCCAAACATTACAAGAACTCTCACACACTTTCCAAAATTATTCCCCTCCCATAATTTTAATTTTTTATAATTTATAATTTCTTACACATCCTTCTGCAAACATAAATCATTTGTTAAACATCAATTCGCTGATAATTTATGCCTGCAAAAAATATGCCATATAATGGCAGAACTACAACAATGCCGTTTTGCGGCAACAACGTGACGTGAATGCTGCTGACATCGTGCTGAAATGATAATTGGTTAGGATAACCAGTTTTTTGTTGTTGTTTTTCATTCATTTATTGTTGTTGACCAAATTAACGAGGTTACACTAACCACATTAATGGCATTACAAAAAAGGCGTTAGCAAAAGAAAAGAGAAAAACAAAAAACAATAATAAACAGCTTGTAAATAAAATAGTTAAAAGTAAAAGAAAAGTGGCCAAAATACTACTATAACAAATACTTCTACTGATAACCCCCCTCCCCCTCCTTCTACTCCGTTCAATCTTCGCCAACGTATTTCAATGCAACTAATTATTATACAGCAAATAATAATAATAACCCTACCCCCTAACATCCCTAGTGAGTTATGACGAAGACTATTGGAAATATGCTATAATAAATACAAAACTCACACAGACACACAGATGCAGATACAAAGACATAGACACAATAACAAGAAACAGACCAATATAGCCAAACAATAATTACTTGTTAAAAGCCTTTCCTCAGTCTAGTAATCGGTGGTCCCCTTTAGTGTTGATGGGGATCCCAAAGTGAACATATTGCAATGTAAATACCTGCAAACATAAATATATACATAGTACATACACACACACACACATATATATAGGAAAAAGGAGGACAAACTAAACAACTGTATTTAATATTTTCACCCGGTCAGGCTGAACACGCAAAGGCAACCAAGCTACCAACCAACCGGCATGGATGGACTGTAAATGAACAAAACGCACTTTAAATTTATTTCAAATAATTTCCAGCATAAATAGCTAATTTAACTTTGTTGTTAAAGTATCTAAACCTAGATTTATGGTAGTCACGTAAGTCAGTAAAGCGCTGTATTGTATTAAAGGAAACTATTTTGCATATAATCAAGCGATGGAATGAAAGGATAGAATAGCTACAACATAAGACAGGAGCCAATGTGAGTGAAGATTGTACATATAGAGCACTGTAGAAAGGACATTTTCTTCGCTAGTAAAACAAGAAAGCTCTTAACATAACCTATCAACGACCGAGAAATTTGCATAAAGGTTACAGTAGTCCTTAGATACATAGAGGATTTGACGCAAAAGTCATTGACCTTATTTAAAAATTTTCAATATTCCAGATTTAATTGATAAGCCTATAAAATATGGCCATATGTAGACAAGATAACCCTTTTTTCATGACAATGGCAATTGTTGGTAACCTGGCCGTTGATAAAATGTAAATAATCAAAAATATGTAATAATAAATATATATTATCTAATAAATCTATATATAAATATTTAACGTTAAAATTATGATATTGTATAAATTATGAAATATAACGATAATAATTTCTAATTTAATGGAGCAATAAATAACACTGCCTGCAATGTGCCTCAATGGATGCTGTGACATGAGTTTACTTATTAAAAAAAAAAAAACAACTAACAAATTACAAAGATGCAGTCGGTTATCCGAAGGATATATCACCTCAGCATATGACCACTTATTTGACCGTGTATACCCTTTTTGGGGGACTTAACATAAATATTGCTTTTGTCCTTTTGAAAAAAGATGCGAAAATTGTCTGCATGATTCTTTCTATATAAATGATGCGCATGATTTATCTAAAATTTGAAGTTTTGTGGAGAAGTACCAGAAAGAGTATACTGTTTTATTTAATTTTCTCACTTACTTCAACATAGACCAAAATAAAGGATCGGATATTGCCCATCTGCGAACTCAATCTTTGTTTTGTAACACGACAATAATCCGAAACATAGTCGTACATTCTTTTCAAAAATTAATTCGTTTCTTCCTCCACCGCTATCTCTTTCAGATTATCTTCGTGGAACTTTGAATGACTTCTTTAGGGCAAAAAAGGGCTATCTTAAAAAAACCAGAAGGGTAAAGTTAAAAGTCGGGCGGGACCGAGTGTATGATAGCCTACACCACTATGCATATTTAGTAAATCAACCGTAACAAAATAATTAATTTGAAGTAGATCATATCACCTATCAACATTCCGCTTTTAAGCAGTTATAGATTGGATTCAGAGGTAACTAATACATTGGAGGTAGATACAACTCAGAATCGATTTTCACTTAATTTTACGGAGACATTTTTATCTTTTATACCAAATAACATTGCACTAGATAAGGATTATAAAATATACATATATATATATATATATATATATATATATATATATATATATATACATATATATATATATATATATATATATATATATATATATATATATATATATATATATATATATATATATATATATATATATATATATATATATATATATACACATATACAATATATATATATATATATATATATTGGAACCGAGTTCCACAAAATGGAAACGTACGTCCCAAAATTCAATCCATTTGGGCTTATTTCAGAGCTGTATCTGGTGTCCGGTATCAAATATCAATGAATGCATATTACGCTTGTGAGGGAATTTAAACCCCAAATCGGATAAAGCATATGTATGCGAGCTATATCTGAATCGATTTACACCGAATTGTAATTGTGTACTTGCTTCTAGACTGAAGTCGGTCGATGTGCCAAAATGCAGGTCATTTGGACATGTACTGGTATTTAGTGCACAATTAACCCGAAGGGCTGTTTCCTGACAAAATTTGATACACTTATTTCAGAGCTGTGTCTGGTACCAAATAGCATTCTTTTGGAATGCATATTACCCTTGTGAGGACTTTAAACCCCAAATTGGATAAAATTTACACCAAATTTAAAGTAATGTTTCTAATAGGAATTCTGTCGTAATTGCCAAAATCCAAT